TTACCGCACGTCATTTTTTGAACAGTATACAAAAATAACAAAACACAATCAGTGATTTCTTTTTATATCTAATTTATATCAATTATATATATATATATATATATATATAATTATATTATATATTGATATATAAAAAATCTTCATACATTGAATACGACATTGCAATTGTGAACAAACTACTAATAAATGTCGTTATTTAAATACATTTCTTAAAAACAATCATGGCTACGAAATCTTTGTATTTACTTAAATATTACAATAATGAAATATTGTCATTTCAACGAGCAACGAACGCATTCTTCTTGGCGCAAAAATTGCCCTGGAAAGGAAGTTGCACTTACTTCCGATCACAGTATCGGGGATAGCGAGAGCAGGTAGGGATAATAATCTTAGCGAAGCGACTAGGATAATTTCGCCGCCGCGAAACCGGCTTGCATCGACATCGGGGCCTGATTTATAACAGGATCCTGGGTTACCGATGAGAACGGTTAGACCCTACCTTACCGTCGACGGTAAGGCAATGGTGGGCCTGCTCTTCGTCGTCGGTGAAGTTCGAGCACGCGGAGAGATCCGCCTTGTGATCCGCGACAGATTCCAGATTGCTTCGGCGATTATGCCCCGATTCGAGATTTACGGGCGAGCGGAGCCGTCTGGGACGTATCGCCATTTATTTATAGTTACGGGGAATCACTTATTGCAACCCGCTCGCACGCCTCTCCTCCTTCGTCCCCCTCCATCGTCCTCTCCTCCTTTCTCCGCGGAGTCCTTTCTCCCTGCCCTTCCTTCCTCTTCATCGCCGGCACGCGTGAGTGTGCTTTTAACGCCCGACGCCGAAGACGACCACCCGCGGTATCGGGTATGAGAATGCGGCTGCGAACGGCCATCGGATGCAATTTCGTGCATCGACAGAAACGCAGCTCCGAGAAATCTTTATTATCGCGCGCGAAAGCGGATCCGCATGCCCGTAATTACGTCGTAAGATTCTTCACGGTCGGGACACCGTCGACGCAAGATTATCGCAATAGTCTAGCCTCCTTCACGATCGAGGGCAATAAAGCTCGTCATTATCGCGCGTTAACATACGGATATTTGCGATAACAGTTTTTACTTCTGATCCTCGCTTAAATTTCCACATTTCTTCATAACTATAAACGATGAGTCAGTGTATACGTTGGACATCAAGGGACGAGGTGAAGTGTAGAATTAATTTAAACGAGAGAACGGACTTTTCGGACACAACTCCGTATATACGCTCGCAGGATGCGAGTTGAACGGCCATATCGCATCCTGACGACCACCTACGATATCATTCGCGAAATGTACGAGCCTCTCGTGATCTTACGCGACGATCACGTGCACCGAGACGTCGGGCGCTTCTTAATTTGCTCCGAACCGGCGAGCGAGCGAGCCGGGTGATTTGCTCGAAGTATTCGGACAATTTAACGAATCCCCTCGGACGCAACCCACCATAGCCGACGTGCACACTCGCGACTCGCTCCCCGCGAGAACGGGGACGAAGACGAGCGGCGCTCTTTCTCTCTCACGGGCTATAATTTACAATCACGTCGTGAGAAAAGGGCCGAAATATTCGTGGGTCCGACGTGCAAACGCAGCGGAGCCTCAGCGCCGAATGCGTGCCGTATACGTATACACACTATATATGGCGGCCGGTAACGAATGCACATGCATTATCCCGCTGTAATTACCATATCAAGGTCTCGTTGCTGATCCCTAACACCGTCCTAATTGCCACGCTCGACAATTTATTAAATTGCTCTATTATGAGGCCTGTCCTCCTTCCACCCTCCCGGCCTTCTTTGTCCGTCTCACTCGAAGCAGCTTTAAGGATACAAGCTCGCTCCGTTTCCCTCCCCCCCCCCCCCCCCCCC